AAATAAGATAATTAGATATAAGGAATTAGTAAATGAACAGGGAAATCTGAAAACAAAACAAGAATTGGAACAAGATATTGGCAGAAAGATTGACTGGTGGACATTTACACAAATTCAATCTAAATATACAAAGGACAAAAAATTATATGAAATCCAAAATGAGCCGCAATATTTGGATAAAATTAGAAATAAAATTAATTAGCAATTTATATAAATACCTATTGAGATATAAAATGGAAGACGAGGTTGTCAAAGACACAATGATTAGATGGGCAAAAATTTTGGATACAATATAGAATTGGAGAAATGGGAAAAAATATGGGAAATAAATATAAAATTGACTATGTCGGCGGCATTCAAGGAAAACCAGTTGAAGATGTTTTACAGATGGCATCTTCCACCAGCAAAGCTTGCCAAGATGTTCCAGAACAATTCGCCAACATGCTGGAAATGTACAAAAGTACATGGAACATATTATCATTTATGGTGGACATGCCCAGTTGCAAAAAAATACTGGACCACAATAAGAAAATGGATCGAAGAAATAATAAGCCAAGCCGTAGACTGGAAAACAGAGATCTTTTTGTTGGGTATTTTAAACAGGAAATACAATAAAGAAATATGGTACTTAATTTTACATATAATAACGGCGGCAAGACTAGCATATGCACAGTGCTGGAAAAGTGAGAATATACCATCAGAGGAAGAAGTGATAAGAAAAATCCTGGACTGTGCTGAGATGGACAAATTAACAAAAGAGATAAAAGAAAAGGAAGACACAGAGTACTATATAACATGGAACAAGAGGTATGACTGGTTAGAGACTAGAAATAATAGAGGAGAATAAATATGGAAAGCTCAAAAGTGAAAATATGTGTATAATAATGTATAATAATAATAATATGAATTATTCTTAGTAAGAAGTAGAATATGAAGGAAGGAAAATGTAAATAAGAATAGACGGTAATAAGGACAAATATTCTAAAGAAAAATAAGGGGGGAAATGTAAATAATAGATTACCATTACGTAATCGCTGTTAAAAAAAGGGAGAGGAATATATGTGTGTGTATGTGTGTTATGTTTTGCTTTGTTTTGTTTTGTTGGTTAAAAATAAAATAAATTAAAAAAAAATTCTCTGGTGCAAAAGCTGATTACAAAAACCAAGAAACCAACAGTTAGACTAAACAATTTCCATTTGTTCCAGAACCCTTCAAATCCTTATGTAACTTGGCTCTATATCATGCAACCTGAACAGTGGTGGGATTCAAATATGTGAACAACCAGTTCTGTGTGGTTGCAGCTTCCGGAAATCCATTCTGGGCCTGGGCAAAAAAAAATTAGCTACCGGTTCTGCCAAAGTGGTACAAACCGGCAGAATCCCACCACTGAGCCTGAAGCATGAAAGAACACTGATAACAAGACTGGATATGTTCCTCAATAAAAACAGACCTTTCCGGAAAGCAAAAAACCTTAATATGTGAATAATGCTCTCTATGTGAGAGGTTGGTGCAGAATAAACTTCAACTTTAGAACAGAAGGGAAAAATTTTTTTTTTCTTTTAACTGGAAATATTTTGAAGGAAGTTAGCCCAGAGAAAGAAATATTAAAAAGGGTAGAAAAATATATTTTTCCTCAAAAGGACTTTTTAAAACCAAACCTGGCCCCAAATTTATCTCTCTGCCCCAAGCAAGACTTTAGTCCCATACAAATGCAGATGTAAAACCATCAGAAAGTTGGAGCCAGAGCAATCAAGGAGACAAAAGAAAAGATCTGCATACCCCACCTAAACTCTAGGAATCATTAGCCCCATCACCTGGGAAGCAGGATATGATAATAGGATTAAACCACAGATATCAAGGCCTAGACAAACACTCAGAAACAGCCTCAAGTTTCATGCCACAGGAACAGGAGACTATTCCAAACGAAAGGCTAGTGGGGGTATAAAAACCTACTACACCATGTGCTCAGCCCTTCTCTCCTCTGCACTTTCCTGAAGAACCATCTTTCTGCAATAAACTGTAACCTTCTTCCCAAAGCAGTTGCCATGTTTGCTTATTTATTCCCGGCTTGGATGAACCAGGATGAAGACTTTACTTCTAACAATTTGGCACCACAGAGATGGGATTCCAAGATAATAATAATAATAATAATAATAATAATAATAATAATAATAATAATAATAATAATAATAATAATAGTAAAGTTGGAAGGGACCTTGGAGGTCATCTAGTCCAACCCCCTGCTCGGGCAGGAAACCCTACACCATTTCGGACAAATGGCTGTCCAGTCTCTTCTTAAAAACTTCCAGTGTTGGAGCATTTACTGCTTCTGGAGGCAAGCTGTTCCACTGATTAATTGTTCTAACTGTCAGGAAGTTTCTGGTAAGCCCCATCTTGCCGGCAGCAGACTCCCTGGTGTCTGTGGATGGGTTTCCCAGGCCTTGCCCATGTGGAGCTAGGGTAGTAAAGGGAGTTTTGAGAGTTTGAGCTCAAGGGCTGCTTTGGAAAGAAGGTGAAGGTGAGTACCTCTAAATTTTAAGTTTAAAGCCCAGGGGAACAAAGAAAATGTGTGTATTTCTGTTTGTGAGTGAGAAGACTTTTTTTCCCAATCACAGTTGGATTTTGCTCCTTCTGGTCTTTCCTAGCTGCAGAAAGGATCTGTTTAATTGGCAGAACCTGGAAAGCATGGGGATTTGGCCAGAGCACAGAACCTTTTGTTAGGGAAAAGGGAGAGACTGTGTGAAAATGAAATGGAATGAGTGAATGAAAGAATTGGATTTGGACAACTAGCTGGTAAGGCCCTGTAAGCAAAGCAAAGTTATGAAATTAAGCCAGAAGAAGGGAGCAGCCATCTACCTCCAAGGGCAAGCGGAGGTGCCCACGGACATTGGAGGTCCAGATACCCATCAACGGTGGCGTAAAGCTGGCCGGTCGAAGAGTAGACCGTACCTTCTAAGGAGGGAAACTAGAAGGTCTCTTCAGACTCTTTTTTGGTCTGAAAACATGGCGGATCCTCGGAGGAGCCCACGAACTCTGAGAGGGATCCAGAGAAGCTCCGTGAGTCCTTTTTTTTCGGACTCACAAAATCGTGATAGTAAGAAGAAGTCTCACAAAGAGACTTCCGACGGATCGTGCCCTTTAGCGGTAGGGAAATCCCGTTAAAGAAACATAGGAGGTTCTAATTCAAGGGCGGAAGTAGGTTTCCCCATTGAGAGCTTGCTCGTAGCCTGGGACAGGAATCAGCTACCTGTCCAGGCCGGAATGGAAAAGAGGTAGGTAAAGAAACTATATGGTGGAAAAGAAAAAAAAAATATATGGGCTTTGCTAGGAAACCAATTTGGCAAGATTCTCTTGCAAGTAAATGAATGCTAGAGTTCATATCAGCTTTGTAAAGGCAGACAGCGTTTCAGCTCTGCTCTCTCTGTGGCTTTTCACACTTGAAAGGATCAAAGGAATTCCAAGCAGCAGCCCCCTTCTCCCTTCCCCCGCCGAGGCAAAACGTCTTGAGGAAATGTGGGATAGTTGCAAAAGATTGTCTGTGAACTCAACTCAGTATGCCTGTAAAGCAAGGGAGCCAGTAAGCCTTGAAGAGTTTTGATGTTAGCACATAAATTCAACTAGCTTGTTTTGGGATGCTTTGATATGTGTGAGTCTGATCCTTTCTAAACGAACAGAGCAGGCTGGAAAAGTTCCTCGGCTAGAAAATTCAAGCCTTAGCAAATTTCTGTGGTCTTTGTTTAATGCTCAGAAAGAACAACTACCCCTTTCTTTCTGGCCCCAACAACAGGCAATAAAGCCATTTGTTGCCTTAGCAACCAAGCCTAAGGCCATTAAGGAGAGCAATAAAAAGGCAATCAACCTCTTCACTCAGCCACCCTTTGGAATTTCAACAATGCCAAAAGATGGTGTTCAGAGGTCCAAATAGCATTGCAGCAACACCCCCTAGAGGGCACAGAGTGAACTTACCAAAAGTACTCACTCACTCACTCAAGCTGAAGACTAAGTTGTTCCAGCTTGAGAGAAAGAAAGCAAGAGCCAATTGCCTTCGCCTATTATCACAGCTGATGACCCAGAGTTCCAGCCTGCAACTCACCAGGTGGGAGTTTGTACCTCTACATTCCCCAGTGGCTCACAAGCAGTAACGTGGCAATAGGAAGAATTTGGCTAGCTTTTCTCCAGACGCCCCTAGTGGTTAAAGCAGGCTCTACATGCAAGCCTTTAACCGCACCCAGAGAAGCCCCTCTAGTGGACAAAGGGTGAACCTCGAAAGAAGAACACCCTTGTAGCTGACCCGCAGCAAGTGACCCCTAGTGGTGACGGGATGAACTGTGCTGAAGTACCCACAAATGCAGGAGAATGCTCCCAGTGGCACCTCCATCCACAGACAGTACACCAGTAGCTGATCTACAAGCAGCAACCCCTAGTGGTCAAAAAGAAAAGTTCACCCAATTTGCTTCAAAATAGCTAGGAAGTGTTCTGAACCTGTCTTAGCCATGGCAGAGTATTCCACTGATCTAGCAGAAGTGGTTCAACCTACCAGCCTAGCTGAGATACACCAACTAGCTGGCCAAGGAGAAATGCTGCCAACAGCCAACCTTGAACTGCACAAAGAGGCCAAAGCTCAAGCCTCAGTGAAGCCAAAGACCTCTCAGAATCACTATGATCTGAGACAACAAAGAAAGCCCACAGAAGCCATGCACTCACATCTGATGGAGAAATGAGACACCATCTACAAGCGCCATGAAAGCGGCTGGGAGAGATTATACAAACTCTACCACGAACAGAAGGAGGAACTCCCCCCAGAACGTGCTCATGCAGTAGAAGGAGATAAGGAAGACGCCTATGTGCAATGGATGGACTCTGAACGGCAACTAAAGGATATTCAGGAACAATTAAGAGACTCAGGAGTCGATAGCAAGATGCATAGTCTCAATCTACTAAACGAGGAATGTAAGAAGCTTCTAGAAGGCGCACAGGGTTCCTCACAGTCTGAGTCTCACCAGAGAGGCAGACCAGCTGAAAGAGCCAAGTCCGAAGTTTCCTGTCGTTCATATGCACCATATCAACAGTCACACGCAGCTCCATCTCATGTGTCTGAAAGGGCTTCATCCTTGCGCCATATGTCCAAAGCATACTCCAGCGTGTCCCAACAATTGTGTGTCACAGGCGTCTCCCGCTTTTCAAAAGCATCCTCCCGTCATAGCCAAGCATCCAGAATTTCACATGAAGAGCAAATAATCATAGATGCTAATGCCGCTGAAGCAGTCTTCCGCGTGGCACAAGAGGAGCAGCTGAAGAAGAAGGAACTGGAAGCAATGGAAATAGAAGAAGCTTGATTGAAGGCCAGAAGAAAGGCTGAAGCAGCAAAAAGGAAAGCTGAAGCAACCAAACGAGAAGTGGAAACAGCCAAAAGAGAAGCTGAAGCAGAGGCTGACGTGGAAGCCAAAGCAGATATAAGGAAAGTCAAAAGGAAGACCGCTCAAGATGAGCTTGAGTTCATATGTAGCCAGCGAGATGTGGCAGACAAAGTGGCAAGAGTGAAGGCCTTCAGAGAATACTCCAGCACACCACTTTCTTGCCAAACAGGCAACAACTGGAAAATGAAGAGTGTCGCAGTCGTATACAGGCCTACGTGGACAACCAAAGCGCATTCCAGAATGCGCAGGCAAGAGTGCCACAGCCAGCCACAAGCCCTGCAAGACCGAGTAGACAAACGGAGGAATCTCAATGACCTGATTCGCCGGTCAACCACAGAGTTGACGTCACGACACCTAGGTCACGAGATCCTCCCGCCGTTACTGCCCCATCGAACCCACCGCTCCACACCCTCGATGACAACCTGATGGGATTACCAGCAACAGCAACGACTGCACAGCGGGGAGTGCCACAAGATCTTTCCACCATTATTATCCCACAGAACCCGCCAAACCAGAGCACTAATGGCAATTGGATGGATCCACCTGTAGCGCCAATGGCCTTAGAGCAGAACCAGCCGTCACTCAGGGAAGAAGTTGAACGAGTTAGAATCCCTAGAGTCTCTGCTACACCAACAGGAGGCAGCGTCCCAAGGAACTGCCACCTATTCTGACTACACAGATCAGCCTCGAGCATCAGCTCTGACAGCCTACCAGGGAGCTAGCTACATTCTACCAGGAACACAGACCCTCCAACACATAAGCAAGAAAGAGCCTGGGCTCCCTCAGCTCAACGTCAGAGCAGAGGAGTTCAGACTAAGCCAACAAGGTCCCTTGCATGTGACACGGCAAAATTCCATCAGCCAACAATACACCGAAGGAAGTTACCAGCCAAACATGACACATGCCTCTGCTCCTGGAGGCGATGTACCATCCTCAACCAGCTACGCACCTATGAGACTTTACAGAAGCAAACTAGATCTGGCATCCAAGGGCGTACACAAATTCTCTGATAAATCGGGGAAGGACTACGTATTGTGAAAGCTCATGTTCCAGGCTGCTATCCAAGATGAAGTTATAACATCGAGCGAAGCACTCAGACACATGAAAACATGGCTGGGACCAGCTTCTGCACGATTAGTAGAAAACACTCAACTAGCCCACCTAGGCGACCCAGCTACCGCCCTTCTCAAAGCTTGGGAAAGGCTCGACGAGCGGTACGGCAGGATGAACTGACAGAAAAGTCGCTCTTGAATTGCATTTACACCTTCCCTAACATCAATATCAATGATCACACTCAGATATTGGAATTCACAGACACGCTCTCGATGCTACATTCAGTTCGCGAGCAACCCAACATGCCGAAACTCACCTGCCTCGATCAGTTCGAGAAGCAAAGGATTATAGTTAGAAAACTACCAAAGCAGTCAAGGGACGAATGGGCCAAAATATCAGAAACTCACAGGAACCAAGACCCTGACGTACCACCCGCCTTTGCTGTCCTCGCTGAATTCGTGACCAACCAAGCAAAACTACATCGTAATGCCAGCAACTTCGAGCCAACAAAAGACAACTTCAGCCCTAACCGAGGTTCTTCCCAACCCACAAATGACAGAACCACTGTTTCAGTGTTCAAAACAGAGATCACACCTCGCCCAAAGAAGTCTCCAGACAAACGAACATCGAGAAGCGATCTGTCGAATCCTAGTCCAGCTAAAAAGGGCATGACTTATCCACTCCATAAGTCTTCACACTCTCTAAACGAATGCAGAGAATTTGGAAGGAAGACGATGGACGAACGAAAGTCCCTACTCCAGGAACACAGGATATGCTACAGGTGCTGTGAGTCTACAGATCACATAGCAAAAGATTGCGCAGTCAGGGTGAAATGCCACCTGTGTGATAGTAACAAGCACCCAGCAGCCTTGCATTTAGAAACTAAGAAGCCCTCTGAATGGACGCAACAAGTGACTTCAATGATGGAAACTCAAGCTGACTCCGAAGAGCACCCACAACAGTACGGGACGTACTACACAGATATATGCTGCGACTCACCATGCCCTCCTTCATGCTCGCCCGTCTGTCTTGCAAAAGTCTACCCCGACGGGCAACCTGAAAGGGCTGTAAAGATGTACGCCATACTAGACCCACACAGCAGAGTTACTATAGCTAAGCCTGCCCTTTTTGACCTCTTTGACCTCCCGAGTGAACTGAAGCATTTTGCACTAAATACGTGCACAGTACCAATGCGCACAGCGGGGAGGAAAATCACTGGTCTACGCATAGAAGCGATAGATGGAAGTTCAAATTTCTGGTTACCATCAGTATTAGAATGGGAGACCTTACCAGATGTTCGCAGCGAAATCTCAACACCAGAGGCAGCAAGAAAAATACCTCACTTAGCACACATAGCCGATTTAACCCCTCCTCTACATCCCGAAGCTGAAATCCTACTCTTCCTGGTGGGAAGAGATGCCCCAGAGTCCATTGGCTCCGATGAAAGAATCAAAGGTCCACCAGGAACCCCAGTAGCCAATAAGACGGAACTCGGATGGGCCATAGGAGGCATAGTTTGTGTTGATCAATCGCAAACCTCAACCCAGATAAGCATCCCAAAAATCTCCATTCCCAGTAATGGAACAGCATCTCACCTAAAACCACACCTAGAATACTCACGCTTGTGACAACCAAACCTGTTTTAGAAACAACAGTGTTCCAGACAAGCAACAATTACAACAAATTAGCCCTGTCCATAAAGGACAAACAAGACAAACAACGTCTCCAAGACTGGAAGTCATGGAGTGTACTCCCAAGATGTCTCCAAACCATGAAAGTGCAGCGTACATACGTCTCCAGTTCACCCGCTACAGTGCAGAAGAAAGAATTGTACACTTCCTTAGATGCATCTACGAAGGTGACTGCAGCCTTAAGATACGTCTCATTCTACAGCGGGGAGAGCCACACTTACGTTATCTCGTTTGCAACCGTAAGATGCATCAGAGTCTACAGCGGGGAGTGTTGCAGTCTTGGTGTCTTCTTTGGGAAAACGAGACTAACAATGCAAGAAGGCTAGAACTATGTGGCACCACTTTGGCTGTAAAGCTGACCAACTTGATACCAAAGACGTTGTGCCTTGAACTACAGTCCACCACCTTCTACACAGACAGCAAGGTGATGTTAAGCTACATCTGCAAACAAAACAGACACTTCTACGTCCATGTAAGCAACAGAGAGAAAGGAATTGGAACATCTTCTTGCCCGCAACAATGGCAATATGTGCCAACAAATAAGAACTTTGTTAACCAAGTGAAGTGGCCCAACCTTGCCACACAGATAGTAGAACTGATCTGGCTAGAAAGTCTTCAGTTCTTGGCCCGTCTAAATAGACAGATGCCACATAGACCAAAACGTTCTGCACTTCTAGCTTCAGATCAAAGTGCCAACCTTCAACCTCAAACACCCGGTAAACATCAACCAATCCGCTTCAAAACCCTGTCTAAGCGGAGACAACTGAAATTAGGCATACTTTTGATCATCTTAATCACTTGTCTCAGCACCCCAAGAATTAGCCTTGTAGGAGCCTGCAAGGACTTACTGACTTTCATGGACTCCATGTCGTTAAAGACACCCACACCCACACATGAAGTCCTCACCCTGGCGACAACGGCAGTAGCTCTCTCCAATACTCCACCGGTGGTTCCAGACCCTTCGGTTCTTGAGTATCCTGAGTCTTCTGCTCAAGCTGTTGTTCCTGACTCTTCAGTTCCAGCTGTTGTTCCTGGTTCTTCAGTTTCAGCTGTCATTCCTGACTCTACAGCTTCAGTTGTTCCTGAGTTTCCAGCTCCAGTTGTTCCTGAGTTTCCAGCTCCGGCTGTCCCTGAGTTTCCAGATGTTCCTGATCCTGATTCTTCAGCTCCAGCTTTTCCTGTGTTTCCAGATCCAGCTGTTTATGTCTTTCCAGGTTCTTCGGTTCCTGAGTATCCTGTGAATCCAGTTCCCCTCATTTCCGAGAAGCTTGGGATCCAGTTTTTGCTGTTCCAGATTCATTTCCAGTTTCCTTCACAGGAAGAAGACCTTGTCTCACTGGGAGACAAGACTGCATACCAGAACTATTGGCCCATGGGACTTGCGCACTGGGCCCACTCACTTGATGAACTAGTTTGCCCAGCTGAGGTCCAGATCGTGAAGCCACGTGAATCAGGGCATGACTCAAAGACACTTGTACGAGGCTGATCACCGTTTGGTCCCAGGCTGATCACCGTTTGGTCCCGTGGCTGATGAAGACCGAACCAGAAGATCAAACCTCAGATTATGTGTTGTCCTATGCATTGTTTGATGTAACACTTGCTTATTCCTTTTAGCATAATCATACATGTTTTGTATTACTTTATAGTTAGGCATGTTTCCTACCTAGTTTTTACCTATTTAGTCACAAGTTAGTTCCCTTTGAGTATTGTATGCCTTAATGCTATGTTCTTTGCTATTTCAGTTAGTTAGTAGTGGAAATTTAAATTTCCAAGCGGGGAATGTTCTGGACTTAGCATAGTCCTACGTAACTCTAACTAGGGAGCATGTGTTAGTATGTTAGAATATCTGCCAGTTAATGGGTTAAATGCTGGGTATGTTGATGGGTCAGTGGGAGGAATGAAAAAGGGTCATTGAGAGACTTCCTGGACACAAGGGAGATGCAAGCCTCTGTTCATCCAGCCACATGTGTTTTGCCAACATGTGACTCTCAGCAGAAGAAGAGGGAAAAATTCAATATTAAATTACCTATAGGAATGAACAAATATGGAAAACCAGATGCATTTACAGCATAGTAAGTCTCTGCTTAGAATTCCTGGACAATAAATATGTGTTTTAATTCATTTCTATCGAGTTATCTGACTCTTTAGATTGAATTCAGAGCTACGAGTTCCGTCTGGGCAGAACAGCCCTAATTCTGTAGATATGTAGTTATTTCTTATATAGAGAAAGAAACTCTGCCTCCTCTTTTATTTGGTCTGTTTCTTTTAAACAATTGAAATCCCTCTAGCTGAGTGTTCCATTTGTGGGTTTTATCCCACCATGTTTCTATAATGACAACTATATCATATTCTTTATGACTGACAACTATGTGTTAGTCCACTTTGTGTGACACTCACCATTAGAAGCTTGATTTTGCTTGATAGCAAGGTTGATATTCTTGTCCAGATACATCTATGTTACTTGCACTGCTAACCCTGTAATTTTTTGATCTCAATTAACTCACTGTCCCTTGTTTAGTTTAAATATTCCTCCAGAAAATCTGTTGAGTTTATTGCCAAGTAACTCAGTCCCTTTCTTTGATGGATGTAAACCATTTCTTTTGTACATTGTTTCATTGGAATACCATTTCATGGTTTCCAAAATTGTCATTTCTGATTTCTTTTTTGGTCAGTGTCTGTTGTTGGGTTAATTTCCTTCTCAATTCTGTCTAAAAGGTGTTAATTTTTGTTCCAGGGGGAATCCAGTGTTAAATTATTTTATTGGAGTGAGAAGGGGATGTCCTGCCTGCTGGGTTCCTGCCCCAAGCTCTGGAAAATCATTCTGCAATGTGTTATAAATGAGTTTGTGTCTTAAATGGGTTTTATCTGTCTATCCTTTTCCTGAAAAATGTGTGTCTATCTACAAGAGCCTTTTGAAGCTCAAGTCTGCTTGTGTGGGGAAATAATTTTCCTAAGTTACTTTTCATATCCTATCACTTATTGTTGAAGCTACTATGAAACTTTTCTTATCCCAAATATATAAGCATTTCTCAATCTCTAAAACGATGTGGTCTATTTTAGAATAAATGTTTTCCTACCCTTGGCAAGTTGCACATATTAAAATATTAGGCTTCTAAAATTATTTGGAGTTTTCAGCATTCTCAAGCTGCCTAGCATTTTTTTTCTCCTCTTCCTTTCAAGTTTCAAGTTCTTGTCCTTAATTTATTGCAAATGGTCAAGTGCAAAGGTGAAACATTTCATTTTGTTGTTCCCCATTTGTCTATCTGTTTCTTTAATAACTGCAGTATTAATGCCCTTTTTAAACTGCCTGCAAGCTACCCCCCCCCTTCCCAATTCTTTTCTTGCCCTTTGTTCTCCATACCTTTTGTCTGCCTCTCCTGGGAGAGTCCACCCAGAAAGGTGGGGGGAGACCTTGTTCTTGTATCTTTCAGCCCTGCAACCCTTCCCCAAACCTTTGGAAGCAGAACACACAGACCCAGATGCTGCCTCCATCCATTTGAGCTGAATCCCACCACTGAGCCTAAAGCACGAAAGAACACTGGAAATATTTTTAAATCTAAAATGGCAGTTAGACCATATAAAGGCAACAACACACTCAGTTGACCCATTCGTTTGGGTGGTGTGGAAAAATGACTGTTTCCGTATTATGAATAGTGGGGGCAACTGATACTAACTTAAGTCCAACAATTTGCAGGGTTGTGAGACTGGTTTCAAAAGATTCCACATTTTCCATTCTAGAATCTAGTTTTGGAAAAGGAGATCAGGAAAGCTAGCAATGCACAGCACTGGAGGGATGCTCTCCACAGCTGTAATTTGTTTGAATTTGACTTGTTTAAAATTAGCCTTCACCTTTAAATTTCATCCTCTCCAGATGCCTGGAATTTTGTAGAATTTCCCAGCCAGGATGGTAATTGTGGAGAATTAGGGAAGCTGATGTCTGTACAACTAGGGGGAGGGTATCCATCTATGGTACTGAACTGGCTCAGGAATTCTGGCAGTTAAAGTCCACAAGTCATAATAGGAGCCATAGTTCCCCACTTTCGCTCTACAAGCAGCTGCGCTTTGGGGTTGGAACCCAACAGGATAACGAGGGGCGGAGCTAGAATGTCCTTGCTCCCGTTCTTCCGGTGCTGCTCTAGCCTCCCCGTTGCTGATTCCGGCATCTTGGTGGCCTGTTCTGCGGGTGAAAGTCACTTTGAGGAAGCCGCTGCTTCGTCAGCCTCATTGCGGTGAGAAGCCGGGACCTCGCTGGCAGCCGGCCGGGGAGAGGAGCCTGGCTGCTCCGGGCCTTGCTTCCGTCCTCAGAGGGGGTTCCCCGGCGGTGCCGACCCCGGGAAGAGCGCGGGAAGGCCCAGTGCTCAGGGCGCCTCCACCCCGACGCGGAGACATGCCCGTCTGGGTCTTTGGTTCGCAAGCTGCGAACCTGCACATCAGTTTGGGGGATGGGTAGAGATGGAGAAAAAAACTTGGAAAAATGAGGAAAAAACATTCCCCCCCCTTTTTTTCCCAAAACCATATTTTAAAAAACAGGGGAACCCCTCTTTTTCCCCCAATTTTTCCAGATTTTTTCCAGGCCTCCCCATCTCCAGGGGTGAGGAAGGTTGGAGACCAGTGGATGCAGTGGCAGCAAGAGGAGGAGGCCGGGTTCCTTCGGGAGGTTTGGACCCCAAACAGCCACAGTTCTGGTTCTGTTGATGGGGAACCTGCCTTGCCTTCCCCGGGTATACATGGAGGAAGGGGCTCATGCAGACAGTCCTATTTTTCTTGGTCACCTCCCCTTTTTATTCTTGGCACCCCCCACCCCCAACAACTGCAAAAAAGGGGGGCTCAGGGAGGGAGGGAGGAAGGGGGTGGAGGAAGATGGTTTGGGTGAAATCTGCCCTCAATTTTTCCTAGGCAGAAGAAGTTCTTTCCACTCAGACGAAGCCCTTTGTGGCCTCACCCAAAGACAGTCTTCTCTGTAATACGGTAGTCCTCGACTTAATGACCACAGTTGAGCCCAAAATTTATGTTGCACAACTGAGAAGTTTGTTAAGTGAATTTTGCCCCATGTTATGACTTTTCTTTCCACATTTGGTAGCGGATCACTGCAGTTGTTAAATTAGTAAAATTAGTTAAGTTGGTAACACCGTTGTTAAGTGAATCTGTCTTCCCCCATTGACTCGGCTTATCAGAAGGTCACAAAAGATGATCATGTGACCCCGGGACACTGTAGCCGGCATAAATAGGAACCAGTTGTCAAGCCTTGGCATGTAAATTGCATGACTGTGGGGAAGCTGCAATGGTCACAAGTGTGAAAAATGGTCAGTGCTGTTGTAACTTTGAACATTCACTAAATGAACTGTTGTAAGTCGAGGGCTTCTGGTAGCAAAAGAAAACTGTTTGGAAAGAATGTGCACCCAAGCAGACTTAATACAAAAGGTGACCTTGCAGCCAAATGACACTATTGCACAAGTTTAATAAACCATCATCATCATTAGTTGGGGGATTGTGTGACAGCATTGGCCCAGATAGCTTGTCTTGTCTTTTCATCATAGATTAGCACTTACATGAAGATTAGAAACATTGGCAAGAAGGTTGGGGTACAGCAGATTCGGGCATCAAGGTCCTTTCCCCCCCCCTTGCTTTTACCTTGATTTTGTTAAACCAGCTTGAATTTTTAATAGCAGAATTCTGACAAAAGCTGGGGTAGCCTTGAAATGGAATGGGACAGAAACTATGGTTTAGTGAATGGTGGGAAGCCACTGTTTTATCATGTCAGTCACAAGTGAAGCACTCATACAATTGTTTTCTTTGTGAGAACACAATATCTGTTTTGTATCTGAGCATAGGCTGCTGTTGAAGGCAGCTAATGTGTATTAATCTTCAGTACTTAATACTACAGTAAGGGGCACACACTATATCACATGTGGCATGTCATTTTTCTTATTGTTTTCCTGTCTGGAGGCAAGATACTTTTGTACCTTTCATTCCCCTCCCCCAGTAATTATTTTAGGAAAGGTGCTCTTCTCTTATGTAAAGTGTCATGAAGTCTCAATTAAAGGGACACAACTAGCAATTTAATGAAAACTTTTGTTTTCTTCCCATTATTCAATTGAAATATTTTAGGAGCTATCATTTTGGTAGATGTAAGTTTCTTTCAAACTGCATCTAGATTGAACTAATAAACAAGCAAGATGTTTATTTAGTCATCTGTTCAAGGTTCAAGATGTTTAATTGTTTATTAATCTGATTATCCCACCAACCACACCCATTTTTATTATTTTGGGTCAAAGCCAGCAAGCAGAACTGCAAATAAAGTATCTGCTTCCAATTTCTTGTGAGCATTCTGAGGCCTTATGTCATATATATCATTTCTGTTCAGTAGGCTAGAATATATATCTAGAACTGATTTGCTAAAATCTAGCTTGTCTGCTGTAAAGTTTAAGGATGAAACCATATCTCCAGTCTGTTATCACAAGGTTTTTTTTTTAAAATGGGGAGGAATATTAATGTATTAGATTAAAACAGCTGTTGGTCACTGGTAAGGATGCCAAGGCTTTTTTCTATTTAGCAGGAAGGAGTTCCAGACATATTGCTGATGTGAGCAGAAGATTTAATTTGTTTCACTGATTGAAGCTAGGAAAATCAGACTGTACCAGTAGTCCTTGACAGGCAACTTTGTTGTTAAAAAAAAAACTATTAACTAAGTCCAATCTCATGACCACAAATGTGCTAATGATTTTACTTAGCTTTCGTTTGCTTTATAGCAGGGGTCTTCAAACTTGGCCCTAAGCGACCCTGGCTGAGGAATTCTGGGAGTTGAAGTCCACAAGTCATAAGAGGGCCAAGTCTGAAGATCCCTGCTTTGTAGTGTCCAAAGAATACTATCCCAAACATCTGGGTGAGGACAAAGGGTGGGAAAGGTTTCCAAAACCTGACTCACAAGGAAGCCAAGTAAAAGGGTAGCTCTTACAGCCCCTTCCCCCATTCCTCTGTCCTTTGGAATGCTCACTCCAGCACTGAGATAATTGGAAAAGAATTCATGTTGGTATTTACATTCATTATAGAGGAAGGGATTACAAGAGAGTAAGAAGGCATACATTAGGGAGTAGACAATGATTTGTGAGCAGGGTTCTACTTAGAATAAGATATCTAGGGCAATCCTGTATTAAATTCTTTGGAGAATAAAATTGCCATGGAGAAACCTGATCTTTTTCCTAAGGAAATGTCTTCTAATAGTTGACATTTTGAAGCACCAGGATATATCAATTTCCTGCTTTCATATCTATTTTCAGAAAATGTCTGAATCAGTAAGAAGCAAGATAGAGAACTACAAAACAGCTCCATTTGACAGTAGGTTCCCCAATCAAAATCAAACACGGGACTGCTGGCAGAACTACCTTGGTTAGTATAATTGATGCATGTGAATGTTTATGTCTCTGCATTATGAATAAGAAAAAAGATTTCATATTCTGAAATCTTTGTAAAACATGTTTTTCTCTGTTGAAGTAAAAATAATATATTTATGAAAGGTTTAAAAATGGTATTGCTGCCTCTCCCTCCTATATTTAAAACACTAGTTACAAGATGAAGAATAATTTCTTTGGCTTTAACAAATTATTTTTTTAGTTTTAACACAATACATTTCCTTTTTTCTCTGTAATTTATCTTTTGAACTTTTTTGACAGCTTGGGTTATAGTTTGCCATGGTAAAACAAAGTTTTAACTATATTAGGTAGGCAGTCCTGATTACGTTAAAAACTCCTCAATCTTCTGAAAAACACTGTTTATCTTGCATAAAAGAGTCACTGCAGTAGTGAGATCAAATGCCATATACATTTAATAAAAAAAAATATGCAAGCAAGAATATTGAGTTGTGGGAATTTGATAACTTTTATTTTCTGGTTAGACTGATTGTATAAAACAGTATTGTAAGGACCCACCCCACTTTGCATCTTAAGAAGACAGAACTCTTGGAATAATTCTTCCAACAGGAATCCTTTATTAAGAGAAAATGGTTGCAGGCATGCTAGACAGGACTTGGGGTTCAAGCTCTTCCATTCAAGGTTTTAAGGGGTTCCCCAGTAGTCCCACCCAATCAACCCCCCTTCCAGTGATAGTTTCAAGTATCACAATTCCACCCCCTTTCTTCTTTCTTCCGTCTGAATGGAGACTTCAGGTAACTACATGAAAGGCAAATACCCTGCTTTGTTATGATAAGGTCCCCTAGTGCTAACGCTTTGATGTTACAATAAACACACATTCAGCATTCAGCTCTTTGAAGTGTACTGAAGGAAGTGAGGGCCATAAAGCCCCTTTGTTCTCCCCCTTCTCTCCCTCTGATGGCAGAATCCAGAGAAGGCAGAATTGGGAGTTTCTATATTTGATAATTAAAGATGAAATATAATTGGATTCTGACATCCGGCCCCTCTTAACAATAAGAGAGATCCACCTGCAAGAAAACAAAACAGGTATAAAAGTTAGTTAGGCTTGTTGGGATACTCTGTGTGAAACTTCTTCAATAGTTTCGGGGCTCTGACATGACGTTTATGGACCCACTCGTTTTGTGAGGCAGGGAGGTGTTTCCAGGCAACTAGGTACTGAGTTGCTCCATGATATCTCCTAGAGTCAAGGACTTCCTTTATTTCGAAGTGTTGTTCGCCCTCCACCATGATTGGAGGTGGTGGGGGGGGGGATTTTTGGCCGTAGAGGTGACTGATGCTCTCTTTTCAGCAAGCTGCAATGAAAAATTGGGTGTATTTGCCTGAGATTTTTGGGTAATTCTAATTCTACTGTTACTGGATTTATGATTCTTTTAATTGGAAAAGGTCCTATATATTTTGGTCCAAGTTTTTTACAGGGCTGTAGGGACTTTAGGTATTTTGTAGATAAGTACACCATTTCTCCTATAATGAATGGTGTAGGCTCAACCCTTTTTTTATCGGCTTGTGCTTTGTATGCCCGCCTAGCTTCATCTAGTGATTTTCTGACTATTGGCCAGGTGTTTTGTAGGTTTTCCATCCATTCTTTCAGTGAAGGGATCGTTGGTTCTTTTGGGGTTAACTCTGGCATAGGGTTGAAACTTTGACCGTTGGCTATTTGAAAAGGAGTGTAGCCTGTGCTGGAGTGGACTGCATTATTGTAGGCAACTTCTGCAAAAGGAAGTAAGTCCGTCCAATCACTCTGTTGGAAATTTAAAAAACATCTCAAATATTGCTCAAGTACCGACTGGCAGCGTTCCGCTTGTCCATCTCCTTGAGGGTGGTGGCTAGATGTCAATCCCTGAGTGGTCCCTAAGAGGGATAAAAATTCCTTCCAAAATGCAGACGTAAATTGCACTCCCCTATCAGAGATGATGCGTTGGGGTGCCCCGTGCAATCTGTAAATGTGCTGGATGAAAAGTTTTGCTAAGGCCTTTGCAGTGGGAATTTTTTGGCAAGGGATAAAGTGCACCTGTTTGGAAAATAGGTCCGTGACTGTCCAGATAACAGTATTCCCATTGCTTTCTGGCAATTCCACTATAAAATCCATGGCTATTTCCCTCCAGGGGGCTGAGGGACTTGCCACTGGTTGTAATAGCCCTGGCGATTTCCCTTGCAACCTCTTTGCTGATGCACAGGTTGGGCAGCTGGCAACATAACTTTCTATGTCCTTTTTTATTGATGGCCACCAAAATTGCCGTTTAATTAAGTGTAAAGTTTTTACAAATCCAAAATGCCCTGCTGATTTTGTGTCATGGCAAAGGTGCATGAAAGTTAGTCTTTGAGTTGTTGGTATATATAACTTTTCCCCTACCCAAGGCAATCCGTCTCTCATTGTGCACACATGTTTGTTTTTCTGGAACCAATCTGTTTCCAAACTTTTTCTGAATTCAATCCCAGTTTGGCTGTCCAGTTGTGGTTTTATTTTGGCTTGGGTCCTTGTGGTTACTGGCGCTGCCAGTTGTGACTCTGCCATTATTGGTCTAGAGTCTGTGGTTCGTGCGCTGTTATATTGGGGCATGCGAGATAGAGCATCTGCCAGGAAGTTCTTTCTTCCTGGTAAATGTTTGAGCTTAAATTGGAATTGGTGAAAATGCTGGGACCAGCGGGCTTGTTTGGGATTGAGTTTCCTGGAAGTTTTCAGGGCTTCTAAATTTTTGTGATCAGTCCACACCTGGAAGGGGATTTTGTTGCCTTCCAGGAACTGTCGCCACGTGAGTAATGCCCAACGTATCCCATAAGCCTCCTTCTCCCATACGGGCCAGCGCTGTTCTGTTTCCGTGAGTTTCTTGGATGTATATGCACAGGGTTGCAATACTGCATCATCATTTTCTTGTAATAGCACAGCCCCCACTGCCACATCACTTGCATCTGCCTGTATTATGAAGGGCTTGTCCATGTCTGGGTGCCTTAGTACTGGTTCGGCAGAAAAAAGTCTCTTTAGTCTCTCAAACGCTGCTTGGCACTCCATTGTCCATGTTAGTGGCTGGCTAGGTTTTACTGAGGGTGTTCCCTTCGTTTTTAGTAAGTTAGTGAGGGGCAAGGCTATCTGTGCAAATGAGGGGATGAATTGGCGGTAAAAATTTGCAAAGCCCAGGAAACTTTGTAGTTGCTTTCTTGTGCGGGGTGGTGCCCAATTTAGTACTGCTTTGACCTTCTCCGGGTCCATTTCAATGCCCTGTGGGGATATGCGATAGCCTAGGTAGTCTATCCTTTCCTGGTGGAATTCGCATTTTGAGAGTTTGGCATATAGGTGAGCGGCTCGCAGCTTCTTTAAAACCGCTCTGACAAGTTTGACGTGTTCTTCTTTTGTTTCAGTAAAGATAAGAATGTCGTCCAAGTAAACAAGGACCCCCTTAAATAGGTGCTCCCTTAGAACGTCATTGATTAATTGCATAAAGACTGCAGGGCCCCCTTGTAATCCAAATGGCAAGACTTTGAATTGATAGCACCCCATGGGGCAGTTAAATGCAGTCTTCCATTCGTCCCCTTCCTTGATTCTCACGCGATAGTAAGCTTCCCTTAGGTCTAGTTTAGAAAAAATTTTCCCTTTCGATAGGTGTGACAGCATGTCTTTCATGAGGGGCAGCGGGTATAGGTTGCTTTCACTGATTGTATTCAGGGCCCTATAATCCACGCATAAACGTAAAGAGCCATCCTTCTTCTCTCTAAAAAGGACCGGGGCAGCCACTTTAGGCTTGGCTGGCTCAATGAAACCTCTCTCCAGGTTTTTTTTTATAAATCTTTCCATTTCCTCCTTCTCCTTTGGGCTCATGGAGTATAATCTGGGCTTCGGGAGTTTTGCCCCAGGCTTGAATTCAATGGTACAGTCTGTGGGTCGGTGGGGGGGAAGCTCATTCGCCCTCTCCTCACTGAAGACTTCAGCAAGGTCCCTATATTCCTCTGGTATTTCTGTTAATCTTTTTTCCTCTCCTATGGATGCTTTTTCTATTCTTGATTCTGGTAGCCTCCCTTGGGGTTTTAAGTCCATAGGGTCCCCCTTCGGGAATTTGATTTCTGTCGTCCTCCAATTTACCCAGGGGTTCCATTTTTTCAACCATTCCATCCCTAGAATCATTGGGCATTCCATACCTGGGGTCACCACAAACGTTAAGTCCTCTTCATGGTTGCCCAGGGAGAGGTGTATTGGCAGAGTGGCTAGGGTAGCTGGCACCCCCCCCCTGCTATGGATCCATCTAGCTGGCCAAATGAGATTGGTTGTTCCAGTCTCCTGGATGGGATGCCCAGATTCCCCACTAGTGTTGGGCTAATGAGGCAGCGGGTGCAGCCAGAGTCTATTAAGGCTTTCACCTTCACAGCTTCGGGCATGGGGGGGATTAATATAGTCACTGTTTTGAAGATGGGTGTGATGCATCCACTTACCAGGGGTTCGCCCTCCGAGCTGTCATCTGAGGCATCCACCGTCCCTGTGGTGTAGGCTGGAGTTCTTTCCCCTTGGTGAGCAGAGGTGGGGGTTTCTGCAATTTCCATCATTCTCATGGCTGTTTCTTTTGGCTTAGCTGAATACTCTCTGGGTTTGTTGATTGGGGATCTGTCTGGGTTGTGCTGGGGGGCCTTTGAGCGGCATTCTACAGCTCGATGCCCTTCTCTTCCGCACTTGAAACACCCCATTTGCTTCTTGGCTGTATCCGATGATTTCACCGGTTGGTGTGTCAGCTCAGGCGGGGGGCGGCTCCATTGTTTTCTTCGGTGGTGCCTCTTCAATATGTCGATCTCTGCTTCCTCTGCCAAAACGTACCATTCTTCAAGTCGATGTGGGTCCCCTCGGGGCAGGCAAGCATCATATAGATCATAGTTTAGTCCGTCTTTGAAATGGCCAAGGAGGATGTCTTCTGGCCAATTCAGTTTGCTGGCAATGGCCCGGAATTCTTGTGTATACTCGGCCACTGGGCGTTTGCCTTG